GAAGACACACACTGTCTGAAAGTAAAGCGATGGAAAAAGATATTTCATGCAAATGGAAACCAAAAAAGAGTGAGAGTAGCTATACTTATGTCAGATAAAATAGATTTTAAGCCAAGAAAGTAAAAAACGATAAGGAAGTTCAGTATATAATGATAAAGAGATCAATTCACAATTCTAAATACATATGCACCCAACTCTGGAGCATCCGGTTACATAAAGCAGTTACTATTGGACCTAATGGGAGAAATAGACTCCAACACAATAATAGTTGAGACTTTAAAACCTCTTTTTCAGCAAAGTACAGATCATCCAGACAGAAAATTAACCAGGAAACATTAGAATGAATTTCTACTCTAGGCCATTTGGACCTAATGAACATATACAGAACATTTCATCCAATGGCTGAAGAATAGACACTCTTCTCAGCAGCACAAGGAACATTCTCTAGAATAGACCATATGTTATGTCATAAAACAAGGCTCAAAAAATGTTTAAAAATTAAGATATCAACAACCTTGTCTGACCACAATGGAGTAAAACTAGAAATCAACAACAAAAGAGACACTAGAAACCATACAAGTACATAGAAATTAAACAACATGCTCCTAAACAATGAATGGGTCAAAGAAGAAATCAAAAAGGAAATTAAAAAATTCCTGGAGACAAATGAAAATGAAAACAGAACATACCAGAACCTATGGGATACAGAAAAAGCAGTTCTAAGAGAGAAGTTTATAGCAATAAATGCTTACATCAAAAAAAAAAAAAAAAGAAAGAAAGAAAAACTTCAAATAAACAACCTAATGTTACACTTCAAGAGCTGGAAAAACAAGAACAAACCAAACCCCAGTTGTAGAAGGAGAGAAATCAGAACAGAAATAAATGAATTAGAGATTTTTTTTTTCCTTTTTGTCTTTTTTACTGACCGGTAATGGGATCGCAACCCTCGGTGTCGTGCCCGCACCGGGGACCAGCAACGGGCTCGCAACCCTTGGTGTTGCGCCCGCACCGTGCTCAGCTAGTGAGCGGGAACCGGTCTCCACGTGGGATCCAAACCCTCGGCGGGAGTGCCGCCGCACGCCCAAGCGGCGCACTCTCCAGTGTGCCACCAGGCCGGCCCAAATTAGAGATTTTTTAAAAAAACAACATAAAAGATCAATGAAAGAAAAGGTTGGTTTTTGAAAAGATAAACAAAATCAATAATGCTTTAGCTAGACTAATGAAGAAAAAAGAGAGACGACTCAAATAAATAAAATCAGAAATGAAAAAGGAGACATTACAACTGATAACCACAGAAATACAAAGGCTCATAAGGGCTACTATGAACAACTATATGCGAACAAACTGGAAAACTTGGAAAAAATGGATAAATTCCTGGACACACAAAACTTACCAAGGTTGAATCATGAAGAACCAGAAATCCTAAACAAACCAATAACAAGTAATGAGATTGAAGCAGTAATAAAAAGTCTTCCAACAAAGGAAACCCCAGGAACAGATGGCCTCACTGCCGAATTCTACCAAATACTTTAAGAGGAACTAATACCAATTCTTTTCAAGCTCTTCCAAAAAATTGAAGAGGAGGGAATACTTCCAAACTTATTCTACAGTGCCAATATTAACCTCATATCCAAACCGGAAAAATGCAACAACAACAAAAGAAAACTGCAGACCAATATCCCTAATAAACACAGATCCAAAGATCATCAATAAAATACTAGCACAGAGAATCCAACACATTAAAAAGATCACTCACCATGATCGAGTGGGATTCATCCCAGGGATGCAAGGAAGGTTCAACATATGCAAATCAATAAACATGATACATCAACAGAATGAAGGAAAAAAAACCTTATGATCATTTCAACAGATGCAGAAAAAGCATTTGATAAAATCAGACACCTCTTCGCGATAAAAACTCAACAAATTAGGTATACAAAGAATATACCTAAAAACAATAAAGGCCATATACAACAAACCACAGCTAATATCATACTGAATGGACAAAAATCAGAGGCGTTTCCTCTAAGATCTGGAACAAGACAAGGATGCCCATTTTCCCCTCTTATTCAGTGTAGAACTGGAAGTTATAGCCACTGCAATAAGGAAAGAAAAAGCAATGAAGGGTATCCAAATTAGAAAGGAGGAAGTCAAACTACTCCTATTTGCAAATGACATGGTCCTATACATAGAAAACCCTAAAGACTCCACCAAAAAATTACTAGTTAATAAATGAACTCAATATAGTGGCAAGATCAAAATCAACACATAAAAATCATTAGCCTTAGTATATGCCAATAATGAAATAGCTGAAGAAGAAATCAAGAAAGTAATCCCATTCACAATAGCTACCAAAAAAATTAAATATGTAGGAAGGAATTTAACCAAGGAGGTGAAAAACCTGTACAGTGAAAACTATAAAATGTTGGTGGAAAAAAATTGAAGGGAACACAAATAAATGGAAAGATATCCAGGCTCATGGGTTGGAAGAATTAACATCATCAAAATGTCCATACTACCTAAAGCAATCTACACATTCAACACAATCCCTGTAAAAATATGAAAGACATCCTTCACAGAAATTTTTAAAAAATGATCTTAAAACTTGTATGGAATCACAAAAGACCTTGCATAGCTAAAGCAATCCTGAACAAAAGAACAAAGTTGGAGGCATCACACTTCCTGACTTCAAAATATACTATAAAGGTATAGTAACCAAAAGAGCATGGTACTGACATAAAAATTAGACCAATAGACCAATGTAACAGAATAGAGTCCAAAATAAATCCACGCACTTACAGCCAACTGGCTTTGAACAAAGGTGCCAAGAATATACTGTGGGGAAAGGACAGCCTCTTCAATAAACGTTGTTGGGGAAACTGGACATCCACATGCAGAGGATTGAAACCAGATCACTATCTCTAGCCATACACAAAAATCAACTCAAAATGGATTAAAGACCTAAATTTGAGACCTGAAACTATAAAACTACTAGAAGAAAACGGGGGAAATGCTACATGAAATGGGAGTGGGCAGCACTTTTTCGAGTGAGACTACAAAGGCACAGCAACTAAAGCAAAAACACACAGATGGGACTACATCAAACTGAAAAGCTTCTGCACAGCAAGAGACACTATCAACAAAGTGAAGAAACAACTTACAGAATGGGAGAAAGTGTTTGCAAACTACACAACAGACAAGGGGCTAATATCCAGTATACACAGGAGACTCAAACAACTCAACAGCAAAAAAACAAATAGCCTAATTAAAAAATGGGCAAAGGACCTCAACAGATATTTCCCAAAGGAAGACACACCAATGGCCAACAGGCACATGAAAAATTAAAACCACAATAAGATATCATCTCAGTCCAGTTAGAATGGCTGTCGTCAACAGGACAAAAAATACCAAACGGTAGCGAGGATATGGAGAAAAAGGAACTCTCCCACATTGCTGGTGGGAGTGTAAATTGATACAGCCACGGTGGAAAACAGTAAGGAGGTTCCTCAGAGAACCAAAAACAGATCTACATTACCACCCAGCTATCCCACTGCTGGGTATATGCCCAAAGGAAATGAAATCAGTATATCAAAAAGACACCTGCAGGCTGGCCCGGTGGCACACTGCTACAGTGCGCCGCTTGGGAGCGTGGCGGCGCTCCCGCCGAGGGTTCGGATCCCACATACAGACCGGTTCCCGCTCACTGGCTGGGCGAGGTGCGGGAGCGACACTGAGGGTTGTGATCCGTTGCCAGACACGAAAAAAGACAAAAAGGAAAAAAAAGAAAAAAAAGACACCTGCACTCCCAGGTTCATCACAGCACTATTCACAATAGCCAGGAGATGGAATCCACCTAAATGTCCATCAACGGATGAATGGATTAAAAAAGAGTGCTGTATACACAAATGGAATACTATTCAGCTGTAAAAAGAAATGACATCCTATCATTTTCAGCAACATGGGTGGAACTGGAAACCATCATGTTAAATGAAGTAAGTCAGGTACAGAAAGACAAATACCACATGATCTCACATGTGGAATCTAAAACAAATTTTTAAAAAGTGGTTCTCACAGAAGTAGAGAGTAGAATAATGGATGGTTACAGAGGTTGGCAAGGGATGGGGTGGGGGGAGAAGGGTAGACTAATAGGTATTAAACTATGCTGTCTACCCTAACTGAATCATTGTGCAGTATGTGAACATATTGAAACAACACACTGCACCCCACAAATACGTACAAATAAATTCTGCTCAAACTTTTTATAAATCCAAAACTGTTCTAAAAAATAGCCTATTTTTAAAAAGTCAGAGCTGTTCATTCAGATGATACATATATTGATAATCCTCTATGTCCCATATCTCCCTAATCACCAGGACACTGACAGAAACTGATACTTATTAACACAATATTAAGTGTCCTGTTCTTTGCTAGTAATTAAATCCTGATTTAGCCTGAGTGACAATGTATCTAACTAAAACACTTTATTTTCTAGCCTTTCTTGCATCTAGAGATGGCCAATAAGGTTTTTAAAAGCTTGTCAGGTTTCAGGAAGATTCTATAAAAGGGGCTAAGACAGCTAGCATGTGTCCTTTTTTATCCACAGCCACTCCCCTCTTCCAGCTTTCTGCCAGGAATGTGAAAGTGCAAGCTGGAGCTCCAGCAACTGTCTTGGACCATGAGACAGCCTAGTGGAAGGAAGGTCCATATTAAAGAAAGTAGCCCAAAGAAAGACTAAACTTGGATACCTGATGACACCGTGAAGCCACTTTATATACCAGTTCTGGACTTTTATATAAAACAGAAATAAGCAGTCACCTTGGTTAAGCCGCCATCACTAGATGCCTCTGTTTTAGCAGATGAACACAATGTCTAACTGATACAGATGTGGCAGAAGAGAAAGTCTCAAACTGTCTGAACTCACATACAAGTAAAATTAATAAAGTCACATTTCTTTCCACCGATGGTCTTTGTTGGTTAGACTATTCCTTTCCTCTTCCTACCTGGCCACTGCAGGAGGATCAAGATAGCAGCGACTTTCCAAGTCCCAAATAATCCTTTTCTTCATGCACTCTGCTTGGTTCCTAAATTCTTTGTCCTGTAAAATAATGAGATAGAGACTTCTGTTCTCTGTGTGTACCATGGTTTCGTGCTGCTAAGTCTGTGGGGCATTCTTTGAATGGATTTAATCACAATATTTTTATTACTACTGCTGTTACTACTATGAGTATGGCTACTATTGCAGCTACTACCACCACATTAAAGTTTTGGGTACCTTAATAATAAAGTACATAAGATAAATTACGTATATAATCCTTACATCAACCCAGTATTGAGTGAGTGCCAAATACTCACTTGCATAACCTCAGCCAGTGATTCTCAACCCCTGATGCATATTAAAATCATCTGGGATGATAAGGGCTGAGAACTAATGATCTAAACTAAAATATAAAGTCTAAATATCTAAAATAAGATAGCAGAGCTAAATTAAAATATAAATTTAAGGAAAGAATGAAGTTTTACTAATCACAATGATGAGAAAAGATACTGCATGGTGCTATCCTGCTAGCCTTATCTGTACTATTTAAAATACTTAGAGTCAGGTAATGAAAATATTGGACCATTCTCATTTTCCAAATTATTGAATATTTCCACTGATTATCTGCTAGTTCAAGAAACATTTGTAAATGTGTTTACACCATTTTCTATGCCCTTTACAAATATGCGTTGTAATAAAAATAGGTTTTAAAAAGAATAAGAAAGAAAAATATAATTTCAAAAACCTAAATGTCCACCAATAGGAGACTGGTTAAGTAATTTAAAGTATGTCCGTAAAATGTCATCTCATACAGCAAATACAAATAAAGAAGCATGACAATGTTCCCTATGTAGTAATGTGGAAAAATCTCCAAGATACACCATAAAGTGAAACAAAGCAAGCTGCACGACACTGTGTGTAAGTATGCACACCTTCATAGATAAAAAACATGATAGGGGAAGAACATGAGCATGTATGTATTAGTGTGTGTATATGTGTATGATTAAGCACTTAATATAACCAGTTTATAAAACAAAAAACAAAAAATACCTTATACCTTGCAATAAAGCAAAAACAGCAGTGTATTCCTCATAGGTTCTAGTTCTGAAAACAACAAGACTTTAAATACTTGCTGTAAATCTGGACTCCCTATAGAAAAACAATCTCTGACGTTCACTATGCTGATGTCTGAAGATACTTAGTGACTTTAGTAAATCTGATAAACAAACGAAAAAAAAAATGCAGTTTTTCCATCATGAACAGGCCAATGTAAATGTGGTAACCTTGGTAATTTTGTATTATTTTCTTTTAATTACTTATTATTTTTATCTGGTGAGTCAGTCCTTCTGAAGTCTGACTCCCTTTCACTCTTTGCAAGGAAACTTTTTCTTTACTTTTCTAAACGTTTTTCTCTTTGAGTCTTCCTTTGACTACATACTCACTTTTATATGAATAAAAAAGTATCTGGAAGGAAACGTAAGAGACTATAATAAAGGTAACTACAAGAGTAACGAGATGAGAAGGAATTAGGGGGATGAGACACGAGTAGGAAGGAGACTTTCACTGCATATTTCTTAATTTTTTACTTTTTATTTTTTGGCAGCTGGCCAGCACAGGTATCCAAACCCTTGACCTTGGTGTTATAACATTCATGTTTAAATTTTGAGCTCTGATTATATTATTACCTATTCAAAAATAAATAAATCTAAAATAAAATAAAGAGTAAGCCTGATCTAAATTATTTTGTTTGCTGGACTTAAGAAGTTGGGAGACATTTTCATCAGAATTAGATGAATAAGTATTTTATTTTGAAATGTAACTGTTTTATTTCGACAGGTGACAGATACATATAAATTACAGCGGTTCACAATGTTTTATCATCTTGTCAGTGCACTGTGTTTATCACAAAAGATGCGTAATTCAGCTGGCTCTCACCTCGGGGTGGTTGAGTTCTCCTTCCTCTTGCTCGTAGGGGCCACCGACGATGAACGCGTTAGGAATGTTGGAAGCTCCTGGAGCCAGAATGTTGGCAATAGGCCATTTTTTGGGCCGGGGAACAGGTTCTCTTTCCCCTCCAAGCTTCAGAGTTCCGTTCTTAAATAGAATGGGACAGTCCTTCTACAGAAATAAATACCATATATCAGGAAACACTGCAAAGGAGTTTGAAATGGACAAAAAGATTACTAAGTATTTTTTCAACAGAATGCTGAGTGCTGTCAAATGCACCCTTCTATGATGATCTGATTCTACAGAAGGACCTGTGCCCTTCATTGTCTTTGTGCCATTTTACAATTCTGTGATTTATAGAAAATTAATAATAATGAAAATTATTCTTGTCCCTAGATATGCAAATAAATTTCGAGTAGTAGTGATATAGTTGATTATCGCATCAATAATGATTATTAATTAATGGGACTAATGACAAAGTTTAAATTATTCACAAATTCATTTCACCATTCATGATGCCAGTATGTGGGTCATTTCGGATTTTCCTCTGAACTGGTTTTTACATTTTATTGATTTCCCCATTAAATAGTTAAATAAAATCTCCGATCAAATTCTTTGTCATTTTATATTTATATGAGAGTCATGATTATACCTGTTTAAAAAGCATCCTTTAAAAAACAAGCTAAAATCTGATAAGGGCTAAAAATATAGGCATTTTTATATTTGCTAATTTATCTAAAATAAACCTGCAGGGGAAAATTGATAAAAGATATAAATAGGAATGGGAAATTAGAAAACCCAACATTTACATAAAAGCAATCAGTGAAATGCACATTAAAACAATGAAATACCATTTTAAACTATAGATTGGCAAAATCAAAGTCTGAAAATATCACATTGGTTATATTGTGAATGGGAATAGTATTTTTATACACAATTGATGGAAGTGTAAATTGATACAACTGTGCAAAGCAATTTTGTGTAAAGTTTAAAATCTACTTACTACAAACTCAACAAGTCTAGTTCCTCGGTTCTAATCTTAAAAACCGTTTGTGAAGGAGCAGCACTTCTAGAATGGCAGAGTAAGGACCTTTGAAAATCTGCTCCTCCATAACAAGAACATTGGCAAAAATTGTTAAGATTATAGGCGCCAAGACCATTCAATGGGGAAAGGACAGCTTTTTCAACAAATGGTGTTGGGAAAACTGGATATCCATGTGCAAAAGAATGACATTGAACCCTCGCCTCACACCATATACAAAAATTAACTCAAAATCAATCGAAGACTTAAATATAAGAGCTGAAACTATAGAAGAAAACACAGGGGAAAAGCTTCATGACATTGAATTTGGCGATGATTTCTTGGATATGACACCAAAGCATAGGCAACAAAAGAAAAAATAGGCAAATTCAACTTCATGGAAATTTAAAACATTTGTGCATTGAAGGACACTATCAACAGAGTTAAAAGGCAACCCACAGAATGAGAGAAAATATTTGCAAATCACATATCTAATTAATAACAAGAATATATAGATGACTCCTAAAACTCAACAACAAAAAAACAAGCAACCCAATTCAAAAATGGGCAAAGGACTTGGATAGAAATTTCCTTAAAGAAGATATAAAAATGGCCAGTAAGCACATGCTTAAATATTATTAGTCTTCAGGGAAATGCAAATTAAAACCACGATCAGGGCCGGCCCGGTGGTGCACTGGAGAGTGTGCCGCTTGAGAGCGTGGCGGCGCTCCCGCCGAGGGTTCGGATCCCATATAGAGACCGGTCCGCTCACTGGCTGAGCGCAGTGCGGGTGCGACACCGAGGGTTGCGATCCTGTTGCCGGTCAGTAAAAAAGACAAAAAGGAAAAAAAAAAAACAAAAAAACCCACGATCAGATGCCACCTCACAACTATTAGGATGGCCACTATAAAAAACAAGCCAAAACAAACCAAAAACAGAAAATAACAAATGTTGGCCAGGATGTGGGGAAACTGGAATCCTTGCGTACTTCTGGAGGGAATATAAAACAGTGCAGCCACTATGCAAATCCATATGGTGGTTCCTCACAATATTGAAAACAGAATTACTGTATGTCATGGTTTGAATGTGTCTCTCAAAGTTTATGTGTTGGAAACTTAATCCCCAATGCAACAGTTTTGAAAAATGGGACCTTTAAGAGGTGATTAGGTCATGAGGGCTCTGCCCTCATGAATGGATTAATGCCATTATTGTGAGAGTGGGTTAGTCATCACTGGGGCGGATTCCTGAAAAAAGGATGAGTTTTCCCCTCACCCCCATGCCCCAGGAGTGCTCTCTTGCCCTTCCACCTTCCACCGTGGGATGACTCAGTGAGAAGGCCCTCACCAGATGAGATTCTATTGACCTTGGACTTCCCAGTCACCAGAACTTAAGAAATAAATTTCTTTTTCTTTTTTAAAATAAATTACTCAGTCTGTGATATTCTGTTACAGCATCAGAAAAATGGACTAAGGAATCCAACATCTATGTATATACCAGAAAAAAAAATTCAAAACAGGGATATACAATTTCATTTTACTGAAGCAGAAAAAAAGATGAGATGAAGCTGCTGAAACTGGAACTCAGACTAAAATAAAAGTTAATATTTACTGAAGGATCCTGAGGTCAATGAACAGAAATCTGCATTTATTAGACAAAAGAGAAATGGGTTCTTAAGCTTGAGAAAAATGTATTATAATTTAAAAGTTGTTTGTTTTAATAAGCATGTGAATTATAGTATAGAGATTCAGAGACTCATGGAGTCCAATCACGACCTTTAGAATCTATTAACTACATACATCTAAAGTCCAATATAATGTGCAAGATTTGTCTGGAGAAAATTTGAATGAGACTGAGGACATAAAAGAAGACGTGGGTAAACAGAAAGGCATTCTCTGTGCTTACATAGGAAGCATAAAATGATCATTCTTTCTAAATTAATCTATAAATTAATGCAATCCCAATAAAAATACCAAATAGGACTCTTTTTTAGAATAGATAAGCTGATTGTAAAGCTCATATGGAAAAATAAACTGCTGAAGTTGGTGATGAGTACATGGGGTACATTACATTGTTTTCTATATATTTGCATATGCTTGAAATTTTTCAAATAAAAAGTTTTTTAAGAAAAGTGAAAGAAGGAAAAGGCCCACACTCAATTAAAAATTAAAAAGGACAAAGAACAAGAACAAGGAATTTGCTGGAAAGGAAATGTAAACAGCTCTTAAATTAAAAGAAAATTCCAACACTATAGCAACTAAAGTGTAGCAGACCCCTCTCCATCAACAAACACAGGAACATACTGTATAAAACAGAACAGCAACCACACAAAAAAGTTTTATTTTAATACAAGGCCGAAGTCAAACAAAGTAAATGATAATCTAAAGGTGCCAGGACTGACAGTGGTAACTCAACACCCGAGGGACAAGCTCATAAGCTGACGCTGAGGGAAACATCAGACCCACACACTTGCAGAGAAGCAAGCATGGCCCAGTGCCCATGCAGGACAGGGAGCTGGGGCTAAGAGTAGTGCATAAAACTGAGACCTGGAAGGGCAACCTTTCATTAAACTTCAGAATGAGGGAGTCCTCTCCAAGTTTAAAATGATGCAAAAAACCCAACAGGAGGGGGCCGGCCCAGTGGCGCACTGGATAAGTGCGCCGCTTGGGAAGCGCGGCGGCGCTCCTGCCCGAGGGTTCGGATCCCACATACAGACCGGTTCCCGCTCACTGGCTGAGCGAGGCGCGGGAGCAACACCGAGGGCTGCGATCCCGTTGCCGGTCCCCGGTCCGGTACGGGGGCAACACTGAGGGTTGCGATCCGTTGCCGGACACCGAAAAAGACAAAAAGACAAAAAAAAAAAAAAAAAAAAACCCAACAGGAAAAATGTAGCTGTAAAAAGAAATCTCTAACATACTAAAGCAATGACTCAAGTTAAAAACTAAATAATAAAGCAGAAGGAAACATGATAACAATAAATTGCCAAACGTGAAAAAGCATGATTATTTTTTTTTTTACATAAGATGAATTTAACAAATCAATTAAGAATATACTAAGACCTCCAGGAGAAAAACGAAAACACAAATAAAAGGCACTTTTAATTATCAAATTTAGAAAAAGCAAAGAGAAAATTATTTGTTTGTTTACTTTTTGAAAAAAGAAAGATTTTATTAACTGACCTAAAAATGAAACTAGCTCTGAAACTCACGTACTATTGCTTAAAGAGTACTTACAGAACTATCTCCCCTGAATGTTTCTTTGCAAAAAAAGAAATCAATAGTCCATAAATCCACATTAAAAAATAAGGCACTGATAAGCACAATATATTACTTTTACAACATTTCTTTCATGTTGTAAATTTTTTACAGCATTATACATGAATTTCCATCAGGCTTTCCATATTACTGACATTTACAGGATTTCACTGCAGTGTAGTTTTCAGGATTGTAAAAGCATTTGTAAAACGTTTCTGTATTTTTAAAACTTGTAGAGTTTCAATCCAGTGTGCATGCATACATGTCTTTGTCAGTGTATGGACCAACTGAACGCTTCTCCAAATTCCTTACACTTAGCATTTTTATCCAGTGTGAATTCTTTCATGTATTCGGAGGATATTGGGCCAACTGAAGGCTTTACCACATTGTTTGCGTTCACAGGGTTTTTCTCCACTGTGACTCCTTTCATGCCTTTGAATTGAACTGGGATAGTCAAAGCTCTCTCACATAACTTGCATTTATACGGTCCACCTCCAGTGTGTGTTATCACACGTCTTTGAACACCTGCGAGAGAAACGAATGCTTTCCTACATTCCTTACATTCATAGGGTTTCTCTCCAGTGTGAATACTGTTGTGAATTCGAGAGGAGTGAATGTAAGTGAAGGCTTTCCCATGTAGCCTATGTTTATATGGTGTCTTAGTCTGTTTCTGTTGCTTATCACAGAAATACCTGAAACTGGGTAATGAACAAAGAAACAATATTTATTGCTTACGGTTTCAGAGGCTGAGAAACCCAAAGTCCAGGGAACACATCTGGTGAGGGCCTTGTTCTTGTTGGTGACTCTGTTCAGGGGTTCAGGGTGTCACATGGTGGGTGGTGGAGCAAGAGACTGCTAACCCCTCACTCCTTCTTTTAAAGCCCTCAGAATCACGCCATGACTATCATTAAATCATCAGTGGATTAATCCATTGATGTGGGCATGGTCCTCACAATCCAATCACCTCTTCAAAGGCCCACATTTCACTTACCATAATAGGATGACTTCCCACCCTCTTAACACTGTCATAACGGAGATTAAGTTTTGGGGGGACATTCAATCCACAGCATATGGCTAATCTGCATATTCCAGACTGTCATATGGTTTATATCCAGTGTGAAATATGATTTGCCTTAGATTTCTGTTGTGATTTTTGTACTGATCTTCAGTGTCTTGATCTTCCTATTTTTTCCTTGTAGAAGCCGAGTTTATAAAGATTTCCCCCATGACATCTCTGTAGAGTTTTCTCTGGGAATGATCCAGCATAGCCCACTCCTCCAGGGTAAAGTTGACAACCACATCCTCAAAGGCCACTGACTCATGATTGAGGTCTTTGGGCAGAACAGGACAGGCCAAAAACAAAATAATAATAATAATTCTCAGCCATTAGCAGAGTAATGCTTTTTTTTTTGTCTTTTTTCGTGACCGGCAACGGATCGCAACCCTCAGTGTCACACCCGTACGGGACCGGGACCGGCAACGGGATCACAACCCTCGGTGTTGCTCCCGCACCTCGCTCAGCCAGTGAGTGGGAACCGGTCTGTATGTGGGATCCGAACCCTCGGCGGGAGTGCCACCGCGCTCCCAAGCAGCGCACTGTATCAGTGCGCCACCGGGCCGGCCCAGCAGAGTAATGCTTTGAATGAAATCTTAGCAGGTGAGGAAGAGATAGCCATATGAGTGTAGACGTGTGTGAATCTACATAAACAGCGGGCAGTAGGGCTTTACCTCTCCAACTGATGGAACTTGCAGACCAACCATGTAGTTCTGCAGGGACCCCACTGGAATGAACGATTCGGGCACAGAGTATGCAGCCTCCAATGTGACCTTCAGTAGATTGCCCCCTACGATCTGTGCTGTGGTAAGTAAGGGTTCTGCCACAAATACTTTAACTTCAAGAGTGCACTGCTGTAAAAGAATAAAATCATGCAGCATTTTGAAAACTGCCAGAGGCCCTCCTTTTTATGCATTATCGCATTTGAATCTCACATCACTGTTCAAGATAAGGTTAAGCTTAATTGTTTCCATACAGAGGATTGAAATAACTTTCTCTAGGTCCCATGAGTTGGCGATAGAGACAAGAAGAGAACCTGATCCCTAAACTAGATCCCTTCCCACTCTACCTTACTGAGGTGAAGTATACAAGTACACCCAGAAGAGGAGTTGAAAGATTCTGTATTGAAAGGTCTATAGTAGTTGCACATGAGTAAATGTCATAGGGGTGCTTTTTTTGCTAGTCTATAGTTTATGATCATTTTTGTCATTTAAATGCAGTGCTTTGTCATAAGAAAATATTTTTTCAAAAATATATGGATATATCCATATAAGTAGATATAGACAAATCTATACCTGACATTTTCAAACAGGATGCAATACAAAGTAGGTTTAAAATGTGTATTAATTGCTATTTATATGCTTGGCAGTTTATTACAGCACTAGGGATATAAAGATGAAGACATGGTCCCTTTTATCATGGAACTCATGTTATAATCTCATGATATATGATAAATGCGGTGAGAGACCTGCATAAAATGCTGTGGTTGACGAGCACCAAGGAAGAAGTGAACAGTTAATTACTGGGCTGGGGAGGAGGAAGAGATGTGGCATCTGAGTTGACATTTACAGGATGAACAGGAATTCACAAACTGGATAATCAGAGGAAGGAAAGAAAAAATAATTCTGGATAAAAAGAACAGTTTATGTAGAGGGGGACTGAAACAGCACAGTATATTCAGTTCAGGTGTCACTGGAAGTTCAGGATTCTAGACTTGAAGTACAAGGAGTGGAGCGCTGGGAGATGAGGTGGAAAGAAGCAGGATGCTCCCATTGTGAGGGACGCTGTACGCCTGGCGAGGAGTCTGCACCTTAACACGTAAGCAGTGGGTGACTCCACAAACCAGCACACGGGACGAAGTAGGGGAAGAGATGTGAACAGATTCACTTCTCAGTCACCGTGAAAGCAGTGAGAAGGCTGCGCTGGAGGGAGACAAGGGCAGGTGCAAGGCTACTTGTAGTAATCCAGGTGAGAGAGGACGAGGCAATAAAGAGCAAGAAGGAAGCTAAGAACAAAGAAGCTAAAGACACTTAGAAGACAGAAAAGGCTGGATTTTGCGAAAGCAGATTTGGAGACTGGTTGTAATTAAGGTTCGAGGGAGCAGTCACGGAGGTAACTCAGGTTCTTTGTCCTGTGATTTCATGGATGGGTGATACCAATAGAGAAAATAACTAGGACAAAAGGAAAAGTAGGTTTGAGGGAAAATACTGAGTTCAGTTTTGGAATGTTGAGTTTTTAGCTGCCTGTGAGATCACATTATCGAGAAATCCAGGAGGTGGTTATAATTCTGGAATTCAGGAGAGGGGTCTGGGCTGGAACTGTTGAGCTGGAAGTCTTCAACCAGGGGCAGGCTACCGCAGCCCAAAGTGGGGTCGGTGCTTTCACATGCTCAGACTATTTGATCCACCAGGACATAGCTCAAGAGGCACTTCCATGGTTGAGCCTGCCCTATATCTACCTCTGGGCCAAGTGACTGATACCTGCTCTGTGCCCATACGCCTCCCCACCACTACCACCACCACCGCCACTCATGATACGTAGATTGTGGGCTTTTCCAAGATAGGACTCTGCCTTATTCATCTTTGCTTCCCAGAACCTTACATTATGTATACTATGAAAAGAAGGTGCCCAATGAATTGGCTTGAACTGCATTGAACCTTAATAGCAGACAGTTTGTTAGACTGAATGGCAGGCTGAAAGGCTGAGAGTTAAAGCTGATTACCTTGACACCTGGTCGAGGGGCTTCTAAAGGTGAGCCCTGCACAGGGTGCAACGGGACTGTTGTTTCAAATGAAGTCTCTCCTATGAAGAGAAGGCCAAGTGGAGCCAAAGATGGAAGGGTTAAGTGAGTACTACTACAAGCAGAGACAAATGTGCTCGATCTTTCCCTCCAATCCCTTGCACTTCTCTGCAGCTATGTCTGCTTTGGGGCAACTCACACCTCACCTTCCAGTAAAGGGAGAAGGTCCAGCACAGCCTGACCAAGAACCAAGGTCTTCTCATCTTTCTGTTTCTTTTCCTTTGGTAAAACTTCAGTCATGGTTACTAGAAAAATCAAAACGGAAAAAACGAGAATTATTTCTAACCCACCCATCAGATAACCAAGGTGCAGCAAGCAAAGCATTGTCAAAGAAATTTAAGAAAAATCAACTTGAAACCCAAGAAGGCACCAGCATCAGTGACTTCTGGTAGAAAACTGGACCACCTCAGAGATTTCTTCACTTTTTCTTTTTTGCCTGCAAGTTATAATAAGAAATGGATTTTACATCATAATCATGTACATGCATATCTGTAAAATTAACTGACATATGATTATATGATAACAAAGGTTCATATAATATTAATCCTTATTAGCCCAAAACCTTTGGATATTTTCTATTCTGTTTCCTATAAGTACTGCACGTTAACCGATCGAGCCACTAGAGCTCCTCGGTTTCATACAGAAAAAATTATTGGTCGTGATCCCTTTCAGTTGATTTCAGGAATAAATAAAAAGTCACAACTGAAGTTTGAGAAACTGTTTTAGATCTTCCCATATTGCCTAGCACAGGGTTTAGAAGACCTTGCAGTGATCCCCAGAGTATGCAAAGCATGTTTGAGGTTTTTCACTGCAGCATTACTCTGTTTTGTGTCAATACTTATTATGAAAATTTCAAATACACAAAAAAGTAGAATAGTAATGAACATCCATATAACCATCACCTAGATTTACTATTAACATGTTATCGTATTTGCTTCATCATATGACTTTGCTGAAATATTTTCCTCACATTTGCTTTGTTTACTAAAATATGTCCAAATAAATTACAGACAGCATGACATTTTACCCCTAAATACTAAAGTATACAAATCCAGAATATGACATTTTCCTACAAAACCACAATACCATTATCATATCTAGCAAGTGTGATAATAGCATTAAATATAATTCCTCTTATTATATTATATTAGTTGTATATTATATTATATTATGTTATATATTGTATTATTATATTAGTTATATATTATATATTTCCTCTTATTACATTATTATATTATGAAATATCATCAATCTAATGTCCAATCCGTATTTAAAATTTCCCAATTATCCCCAAATTTATTTTGTAGCCGGTTTGTTCAAATCAGGATCCAATCAAAGACCACATGTTGCATTTGGTTGTCATGTTTAAGTTTCTTTGCAATTAGAACAGTCTCTCCTTTCCATATACTTTTTCTGTATGACATTGATTGTTGAAGACACAAGGCCAGTAGTTACATAAAATGTCACAACTTCTGAATTTGTCTTCTTTTTTTCCCTCATGGTGTTTAATTTGTTTCTCAGCCTCTGTGTCTCCTGTAAACTTAGATTCGGCTTCAGCACTTTAAGTCAGGATAACACAGTTTGATAACATACTTGCCTACCTGGTATGTTATCAAACTCTGTGATCTATGAAATCTGGTAGATGAAAATGGCATCTTATCATAATTTTATTTCCCTTTTTAAAGTAAGGTTGACTCTGGGGCTGTGAGCTGCCCGTCCTGGGAGGGAATTAGGTGTAACTGGAAGCACCTCCCCCCTACCCCATCCCAGCTGCAGGGAGCCTCAGGGAACCTCCCCTGGGCCATGAGGAGCTTGGGGGACACTCCCCAGAGGGGGTCATCATGGCCTAAAGGATGCAGTGCTCGGAGAGTCAGTCCAGGAGGGTACTTGCTGGCACTGCCAGTTGGGCTCTGGTGTTCACCATTGTATTAGTCCTGAACTTCACCCTGCAGCAGTGCGCCCAGCCAGGCTGTGAGCAGAATGTGGCCTGCCATCCTGATGTGGACATGCTGGACTACCTGCTGAGCCTGGGCCAAGTCAGCCACCAGGACGGCCTGTTGGTCGCCCGGCATCACCAGGAAAAAAGAGATGGGAGCGGCTCTGAGCAGCAGTGCCATGGTCTTGGCGTCGTTGTAGAAGGGCTCAACAAGGCCAACAAGACGGGATCCCCGTCATGGCCCATACCCCAGCCAACTGCAGTGACAACATGCTGCAGCAGCGGCTGGAGGCAGTGCTGACCTCTCAGAAGAGCATCAAGCTAGACTTCAAGAGCCTGAAGGCTGTGGACTCTTCCTGGACCTCCTTGGCAGCTGATATAGGCCAGCAGAGTCCGGAGGCCCATGTGAAATCAATACTGCCATCCTACGGGGCCCCAACGTGCCCATCACAGTTGAGGTCAGTGCCACACAGTTCTTGGCCCTGGTCCAGGAGAAGTATCCTGCCATCACCCTGTCTCTGGGCTGGACCACTCTCTACATGCCACTGTTCCTGGACAGCATATACACCTGAGCCATGGTGGAGAAGATGCAGGACTGGTAGGACTGTTGCTGCAGAGGGTCACCTTCCCCGTGCAGGCTGTCATGGTGCGGGCCACCTGGCCAGTCGTAGAGGTACAGCCTGACACCATGGCAGGGTGCATCAGATCAGTGGATGATCTCCTCTATGTCTGGGACAACTGTGCCACCAAGTCTACTATGACCTCTTCGAGCCTGTCCTGTTGCATTTAAAGCAGCTGGCCTTGAATGCCACACGGAAGTGAATATACCACACTGGAGACAGCCTGATTTCTCTCGAATTGCCTGGGGGTGATGGTCTGGGCATGGAGTGGCTGGTTCCTGACATCCAGGGCAATGGAATGACAGCAACAATTACCCTCCCAGACAGAGAAGACATGATCCTGCTGAACACTGGCCTCCAGGGAACTGCAGCAGGGGATCCTGTGCCCATCGTGTGTGCCCCAGGTGACCCTGTCCTGACTCTGGAGTCATGCCTACTGAAGCTGGCCGCATGTCCTGGACACTGGGGTGTCCATTTGCACATGGCAGAGCCTACAGCCCTCTAGCCATCCCTAGCCATGCTGGCACACCTCTCCAGCCTTGGCAACCTGCCTCAGCCCACGTGGCTGGGGCTACAGTCTCCCATGGGAGTTTTGTGGTCCCTGACCACGTGGCTAGCAGAGAGTTGCTTATAGCTGTGGCTGAGGGTTTCCCCCATGTGATCGTAGAACTGGGCTGGCCGGAGGAGGTGCTGGGCAGTGGCTACAGGGAACGGCTGCTCACAGACATGCGGAGCTGTGCCAGAGGCTCTGTTAACCTGTGTCCTTCCAGCTACAGGCCGGGCTGCTGGGCCAGGGCACAGCTGGAGCTGTGGCCAGGCTGCTCGCAGTCTACCCCCAGGACACCATCGCGATGGGGCACAGACCTGCTGGGGGCAGCTATGCAGCTGCGCGGGCAGCACTGCTGACAACCAGGGCTGTGGACAGGACCTGAGTCTACTACAGGCTACCCCAGGGGTACTGCAAGGACTTGCTGGCAAATATTGGAAGAAATTGATCACTCAGTGGTGCTGGACTGGCAGACCCTTGGTCGAGCCTTCCCACAGGGAGGCAGGATGGAATAAATATCCCTGTCTTCCTCCAAAAAGTAAATAAATAAATAAATGAATAAAGTGAGATTGAACATTTTTCCATATATTTAAGAACCAGTTATATTTCCTTTTCTGTGAACTTTTCATATTCCTTTTATATGTTTTGGGCATTTTTCTATTAGATTCTTGGCATTATTCTCACTGATATATAAGAACTCTTTAAAGGAAAATTTGCCTTCTGTCTAGAAGTAAATTGCAAATTCTATCCCAGTTCACTGCTGTTTTTTATAGTTGCTTGTGCAAAATGTACTATTTTTTTTCTTCTGTGGCCTCTACAGTTGTAAAATACTTAGGCTTCACCACTCTATGATTAATTATTTTAAATCCATGATTTCCTATGGTACTTCCATGGTTTAATTTTTTACACACATTTTACCCATCTGGAATTTATTTTGGTGTAATTTTGAGATATTGATGACATTTTTATGCTAGATAGCTACCTCGGTGTCCCTACAACATTGATTACATAACCCATCTTTTGCCCCACAGATTTGACCTGTCATCTTAATCATATGTGAACTTACTAGAAGTAACGATGAGTATATCTGGACCTTCTAGTCTGTCCCAATGATCTATATGCATGTCGTACCACATCGTTTTATTACGGTTTTTACTATGTTTTACTGTCATGTAGAACTAATAACCCCTCACTATCCTTCTTTTCAGAATTTCCTGATTATTCCTACTTTAAAAACTTTTTTTCTGTAAGAACTCTAGAATTTAAAAATATAATATTGGCAGATTTACAGAGACCACATTAAATTTACAGCTAAACTTAGGGGAAATGACATCTTTATAATGTCGAGCATCCCTAAGAACATGGTATGCTTTTCTGTTTGTTCAACCTTCATGTCCCTCAACAGCATCTTCTTTACAGTTCGTTTGAATCAAGATCCAAATAAGGTCCGTACATTGTGATTAGTTAATGTCTCTTAAGTCTCTGTTACTCTGTAGGCTCCCCCTCCATCTGTTTAGACTATTCACATTTTCATTTTTCTAAGAGACTTTCCGCTAGTCTAAGTTTTCAAAAGTACTGGTAGAATATTGTTTTATAATTTTCAAAACTGTGCTTTATCTGTAGTCATGGCCCATTTTCTTCCCAACATTGTTTGTCTGCCCCCTTCCCCGCCCCCTCCTGGCTCAGTTAGGCCAGAGGTTTGTCTCTTTGTTGGTCTTTTAAAGAAGCAGTTTTCTGTGTTGTCGATCCTCTCTACTGCTTGTTTCCCCACTTCATTATTTTTTGTTCTTATCTTAATTATTAGACACTTCCTTTGAGGTACCGTTATTTTTCTAACTTCTTGAATGTTTAATTCATTTGCTCTAATCTCTTTGTTTCTCAAGATCATCAATTTATTAAAGATAGACCTTTAAAATATACCATAATTAATCATTTTTGTAACCATTTTTGGCATTTCTTCATTTTTTAATATATTCAGAACTTCAAAAATGAAGTAGTCTGTGTCCCTTTTACCATCTGAGACTTATACACTGCTACCAAAGTCCCACTTGCAAAGAGGAACCTTTCTTTCCTACAGCTTAATCCTTGGTGAGTCAGATGAAAGAAGTTCTCTGCAAGGAGTAGTCGATCTCGAGAAGCCAA